TGCCGAATGAGGACAATGGACCCCACCCCCCCATATATGATATTTATGTAAAAATGCTGTTTCTGTATCCTTGTAGAAGTACGGTGAAAATTTTTAGAAAAATACATTTTTTCTAAATAAAAGCTTATTTTAAATACAATACTATTTAGTACTGAATAACTTTCAAAAAGATTCAATAATACAAACTTAGTATTGGAAATTTCCATGTGTATTAGTTCTAGAGGTAGTGAACACTTAACAACCAAAGCTTAATAGTGAAATTTTTCAAATATATTATTGTGTAGTATAATTACTTAATTCTCTGAATAACTCTTAAGTCAATGTAGATGCTCACTGAATAATCCTAAATGTAATAATTCACTTCATCCTGAAACACAAAACATAAACATGGTATTAAACACGATCACTGTTAGTAACTACTAAAATCTGAATAGTATATACAAATTTAATTTCAGACATACAAGTAAACCTACGCCAACATTTGTTTTACAACCTGCTTTAAACGAACTGCACTCCACGAGCTTTCTTATGAGCAAACTATTTGATCAGATCACTATAATCAAGTGTTCTTCTTACACTGTGTTCTATGGCAATGATATTAAGGCCAACCAGCCGCTCTTGGCTCATGAATGAGCGCAGATAATTTTTTATCATCTTTAGCTTTGAGAATGACCTTTCTCCTGAAGCTACTGTAACTGGCACAGTAAGAACAATCCTCAGCATCACATATAAATCGGAATAAATGTCACTTAAATGGTTTTTATGTAAGTACTGTAAAATAGACAGTGCTGTTGGCTGTTGCAATTGGATTTCTGAGCAGAGAACCATGAAGCTCTTTATTTCTGTGAAGTTTTGTGCAGTCTCTTTACACTTCTTCTCCAGTTCTTCAGGTATCATTGATTTCAGGGAGCAAACATTATAAACAAAACCATACTTGTCTTTGAAGGCCACCATTTGTTCAAACGATTCCTCTAGTTCAGCAGTAGTCACATCTACAATAACATTAAAGTATTATATTTAGAATGTTTCTATTACCCTCTGATTGGCTCATCTGCTCCTTCATACGGGAAGAGCTTCTTTATTTTCCTCACTCTTTCTTCAGGAAACACTGTGTCTATTGGCTCATCAGTGCTATACTGGATTTATGTCCAGTACTTTTTTCTGTACACCAGAAATTTTCCCTCTCATATTTGCTCCATTGTTATAACCTTGCCCTCTGCAATCTCCAAGTGGGATACCAAGTTCTTCCAGCTTCTTGAGGAGAATGTCTGTGAGAGCTTCGCCACTGGAATGTAGCCCATGAAGTGTTCCTCAATTAAACTATCATTGTCATTTGCTCTTGGTGACTAATTTCAATGGTACAGTCCAACATAGCTGAATAGTACTTGGAAGATTTTACCATTTCTATCAACTTCTTCAATATATTTTTTGAAACTAGCTGGATAATTTTATTTTGTATTTATTTGCCTAGGTAATGATGAGATATGTCTTTATTTTTAATTTTTCTGGTGTGTTCTGCCATAAGATCATATTTTGCCATTAGCTCCACCTGGCCAAGGAAGCTCTCATTTTGCGCATCTCCCAGTTTTTTATTTCTTCTAGACTCTCTGAAGGTTAAATTTCGCTCTGCCAAGAATTGCAATATGCTGAAAAGTGTATGCGAAATTGCACTCCAATATTCAATCTCTGACTTGAGCTGTGCTTTCTGAAGGTGGTAAATGGCTTATCCTGTGTTAAGTCTCTTTTGTGCTTCATACAAGATAGCATGCTAGAAATGTGGTCAAGTGATTGTTCATGAGATTTCAAATGCTTTCCTAGACGCACCCAATTTGAGAATCCTGTGTTTGTTAAGGTGTTTGCTTTCTGGCTAAAAAATTTACAACAAAAGCAAAATACAGAATTACACTGTGATGAATAAACCAACCATTTCCATTCTACCTTGTCTCCATTGGGTAACTGCTTGAAGAAATGCACAGGAGTAAAGCGCCTTCCAGTGCTATCAGTCTTTGGATCGAAATCTTTGCTTTTGTTGAGGTCTCTTTTTGGTCCAGTGATTATCAGGAAGGAAGTCCTTGTCTTTCTGTTGCCATGTATGTGAATCTGAAGTAATGTGGGAAACACTGGCTGTTGAACTGTTCATGGAGTGTTTCTGTACTTCTACCCCTACTTCATAATCGATTTCATTTTCTTCGCTTGGTTTGTTACTAGTATCACTTTCTTCCTTGTCACTACCGGTATTATCTCTACCATGATGCGTATTGTCTTTGCCAAGAGGGCTTTTGTTCACATCACTTTCATGTGGACTGTCACAGAGCTATCATGTGGATTAATATCTGTGTCAGAGTCTGCTTCATCTCTTGATTTTCCTGCTAGTGCTAAAAATCTGTTCATTGCTTCTTTCTGCTTCTCTAATGCTGCGTCCTTTGCTTTAGTTGCTTTCCGCTTTGCAGCACCTGACTTGTAATGCAGGGACGTCTGGACATCATTGTGTACCTACAAGACAAAACACCACATATCACACCATAATCACAGACGTCAGCAGTATCACCCAAGTCACTAAGTCAGCACCACATCAGCCCCACCACCCACATGCTTCTCCAAAACATTACAAGATACATCAGAATTATCCACAGTATGCTCAACAACATCAACCCCATATGCATCCTCAACAAAATCTCAGCCCATGTCATACTGAACACCCACATCAGAGCAGCATACTTAAGACAACCAACATGTACACTTATCAAGCAGGTCATGCAGTCTCTCAGCTGTCACCCTTGCTACCTCTTCCTTCAAAAACTTAAGTGTAGTAACCACAGGCATATCATTCAGTATAGACAAAAGAGTATCACCAAATATTAGGGATAAAATCGTACCCAAGATAAATAATAAAAGGAGACAACACCCCAATAATATTAATCACAATTTAAAAAGATAAATCTCAAACGTTTCGGACACTTAGCCCATTTTCAGTGAAAATCAAAAGTGAATATAACTGCGTATGATTTGAAGCAAACACCTAGATTTATTTCAAATATATATAAGTATATATATATATAATAAAATAAAGACAATTAAAGTGAAATTAAAATTAAAATCAAAGAAAATCGAAGAAAATTTGTTATTTAACTATATTTAGGAGTACAGACCTGACATTATTGTTCAGGGTGGGTTTTTCATAATGAATGAGTTGTGATTCGAGAAGACTGAAGTCTATATTGTTTGTACATGTTCCCGTATTGAGATTGAAATTCACCAGCATTCGCTCCATCAAAGGATGTATATATATATTCCAACGTCTTCTTAGCACCAAGAAGTACACTGTACTGAATGAAAATTGAAGACAAGTTTCATAAAAACCCATTTACCCGGATTATGATATCTCAGAAGGTGTTTAGCAATGAAAAGCCCATAATTATTTTGCATACAATTTTTTGCGGGTCCCCCAAGTTTGCAGGCCCTGTGCGATTGTAACTTTCGAACATACTTAAGGCCGCCACTGAGTGCAGTATGTCTCAGAAGAGACGGTTTATTTAGAATTCTCCAAAGTGGAATGAAATTATGAACAAGTGTGAGAGTTCAAGACCACAAAGTCCACTATGTAATATTGTCTGTCAGTTGATCTTAATAAAACATAAAAAATAATAAAGTAAAAGAGCTAGCATATCTGGTAAACAGATCCAAGATGTTTGGAATCACCATATTCTGCTAAAAATACAACAAGAGGGAATCCTCAATAGCCGCGGCACTTAAAATTGTTTTAGGCAGGATCAAAATAAATTAATTTATGATATTTTTACCCTTTTTATTACCTATAGTTTTATGCGCTAGCAATACCGAGCGTGGAGTGCGCGTATACCCGTTTTAATTTATTATTCATCAGAATCTCTACCAGACTACCTTCAAATTGAAATTCTTTTAGGTGGGATTAGAGTAAACTAATCTATGAGACCTTGAGCGTGTCCAAATACATCAATCGAAGGGGTTTGACCTCCTGAGTTTAAATCTCAAATCGGTCAAGAGATGACGGAGCTATGAGCTAATAGTTTGTACTTGAAAAAAACAACAACAACAAAAAACTCAGAGCTGTTCTATGAGCCACTACTATTAAAACAGTTCACCATCCGACCTTCTCAGTAGCAAGCATGTTGTTCATAAACACAGAAGAGTAAATGTCAAGTTTTATTGTGTATGTGTGTGTGTATATGATACAAAATACTTAGTGATATTCTTCGTAGCTACGTTAATTTAAATACAGATAAGTTCGTTGATTAATGAAAGCGACGAAAAAAGAGTCCTCTTAGCAAGGATCCCCCTGTGGGACAGCAGTTATGGATTTGCGTCAAATTACGCGGTGGTTTTTTTTTTTTAATCTCGCACAAAGCTACACGAGGGCTATCTGCGTTAGCCGTCCCTAATTTAGCAGTTTAAGACTATATGGAAGGCAGCTAGTCATCACTACCCACCGTCAACTCTTGGGCTGCTATTTTACTAACGAATAGTGGGACTGACCGTCACATAATAAGGCCACTACGGCTGAGAGGGCGAGCATGTTTGGGGGGACGGGGATTCAAACCCGCGACCCGCAGATTGCGATTCGAGCTCCTTAACCACCTGGCCATGACGGGCCAGAATCCGCGTTGGACACAGCAGTTAGCCCGATGTAGCTTTGTTCTAAAACAAACAAATGGTATAGTAGTGTTAACACGTTATTCTTACAAAAAACCTCCGACTAGCGCAGCCGTATGTCTGCAGACTTACAACGCTAGAAACCAGATACTGGCTTAACTTAAAAAAAAACCTTTTAGCGCTTTCATAATAATGCTTTAGATTTTTTTCCATATCATTTGACATTTAGTAGTCAGAACATTTTTCTATTTCATACTAGTTAATCTAGTGCATGAGGAACGCAAATATAGAACATACAGATTGGTCAGAGCTAGCTGATTCGTTAGTGTTGTAGACATAGGATTTTACTAACTTTTGTTACTTTTTGCAAGGTTGACCTTGTTGCTGTCCTGTGCTATGAAATTTGAAACTTATCCACATGACACCCAAGTATGCTCATTTGAAATCGAAAGTCGTAAGTTTTTCTCTAAATTCCATCTTTTTCGTTTTTTCTGAAATCTCATATATCATGATAATGATTGAAAAAAACCTACACAATTTAAGGATTAACTCTATATTGTTAACACGTGTTTTTGAACGTGTTTGTCTCCCAGTGGGTCAGTGGTAAACTTACAAAACAAACTTGAACGTCTATTGATGTTTAAAGTATTTAGTGCTTAGTTGATTAATCATCTTACTCCAATATTTTAGGGAAAATAACATTGCTTTGGTTAGTAATCTACACCCATTTCAAACTAATGTTGTCAGTTTAGGATATCCCAAAATATTTTTGCGATATTGAAAGTACAATGTAAATAAAATGCAACAAACAAGTCTAGAAGTAATCCAACTAGAAAATTCGCATAATTTGTAGTTTGATTGAAGACCGTTAAAGACAATTTTTCAAATGTTTTGGTATTTTACATTTTATTCAGTCTCTTACACGACGGATGACCTGGTGTTTGACTGGGAGGATTATATTCCTTTAGTAGTATATGATACGATTGAGCTACCTCAGCATAATTTAGTAGACACCAAACTAGGAGACTGTACTCAGATTTACTCAACAGGTAAAGTATACCTATCTTTACCGATATATCCTTTTTTAATCATTTTCCCTAACCTAGACGTTTAAGGTTATTCAATTTACTAATTGAATTAAAACTTAGTTTAAACGTGCATAAAAGAACGATTTTGATATCATGGTAATCTCAAACTTCCTTTTCCAACAATATCAGACTCTCGAGGTAATCAAACGTTCACAAATAAAAGGTGTTTCCAAAAATAAATATAAATTTCGTTAGATGTTTGGTTTCTTCCAGCACAAGTACTTATATTAAGCATCTCATTTCAACTGCTTTACTAATTATAGTTTTGGTGGTGTTTAATTCGATCAAGTAATCTATATTAATATTTGATAAAGGATTAAGACGCAAACAGGAAATATAATAATCAAACTGCTTAAGGCTATGTTAACATAAATGGTCTAAATATGAGTTGGTTTTAAGAATGAGATATCAAATTAATCAATAAATATTATTACGGACTGAATGTCAAAACGTTCGGTGTTCTCATTCAAAAAGAAAGATACAGCTAATGAACGAAACTTTAATGAAGTACTTTGTGGAAATTATGACGTACAATGTGATAAAATTTTTTAATAATTTACTTTTTCGACGTGACTTATAATATCTATCATCATGTAATAACGATACACTTTTTATTTCTTTGAAGTTAGTGAAAAATATTTCTTCTACTTCTTGTTAACTTCTTGTTAAGATGCTAGGAATGATTATGTTTCTTTTTAATGCAACAGAAAACAAAAAATATTCCTTCTGACTATACAAAAGGGAAGTAATGAACGAAAAACACCATTTGAAAATAAACATTTACCCGAGTAAATAAAAATTCAGAGCAACTCAACTTGTCTTGTTGTGATTTTTGTGCTTAACCATCATCAATTGCATACACGCACACACACACACACACACATAGCAGAGACCCAATTAGTAGTAGTTTTCTTGGAAACAACGCGTGTGCACGCGACTTGTGTTACTTTTTTCATACAGAGATCCCTCTTTATTATGCCCTATTGTCTGAGACAAGTGGACGGCTTCCGCCATCAACTTTTGTGTTCGTGGATTTTCTCTTACTGAGGCTTGGATATGACTTGTTGCAGGTCTCTTTCTCGATGGTCCGGGTTCCCCAAGCTGATCTATATAATTTTTTTTCCAATGCTGTTAAATATTAAGGGATATCTACGTCTTAGAAAATCTAAATACCCGATATTTTTTATTTGTATTTATGAATACTTTATGTCAGAAAGAGCTGTTACACCCCTTTTTCCCAAACAATTCACTTTTCGGTGGCATCACACTACTCACATAAAGACAAATAACATGTAGTTCTGATACATTCCACTACATAACGACTTTATATCATTTGTGGTTGTTAGGTGACTTACATGTTTGTTTGTTTGTTATGAATTTCGCTCAAAGCTACACGAGAGATATCTGCGCTAGCCGTCCCTATTTTAGCAGTGTTAGATTAGAGGGAAGGCAGCTAGTCATCACCACCCACCGCCAACTTTTGGGTTACTATTTTACCAACGAATAGTGGTATTGACCGTCACATAATAAAATTAAAGGGCGAGCATGTTTGGTGTAACGGGGCTCGAACCTGCGACCTCAGATTTCAAGTCGAGCACCTTAACCACCGGGCCATGCCAGGCATGCTCGCTTGATATAACGTACGTAATCCTGTGGATCTTAAATCTTATCTATCAATATGATTTAAACCAGATAATATACAAAATTACCACCCAGAGTAGAATATAAATATAAGTAATGCGATAATAGAATGAAACCTATGCTACCCTCATGTGTAATTTTATAATAAACAACAAAACCTTCCAACCTAAAAAAAAGTCAAATAAGAATGACTGCAAAACGAAAAAAAACCTACTTTATCTTACTAAATATATTCCAGTCATATAAATTAACTACTACTCGCTCCCTTTAGAAACACCTACTTCTTTATTATCCAGACTATAATCCCTTCTTAAGATTGGATAGGTCTACGTGTAACACAAACCACATGAAACCTTGTATCGAGGGTTTTATGATAACTGGATATCTGTGCTATAACTTAGTAGCAAGAAGAATCTAACATAACTTAAAGAGGAATAAATATGGGGTTCGGCCTTGAAGTAGCACCTCTCTCTCTCTCTAAGGGGATGACAGAATGGCTTACAAAAAGTACAACCTTAAGAGGAAAGTGCAGTAATGATAAACAACTCATCATGTTTGGTCGAAATCGCTGCGAGTGGGGACGACGTTATGAAATGAAACAGGAAGATTACATCATTAAAATATTATCAGAGCTAAATTTTTGATGCCAACACAAACTCAATTATCTGGACTATGTTAAAGAAGATATATATATATATATATATACAGATGTAGTTATTTATACAAAGAAACGCACGTTTAAGCATGCAGTGACCCTTTTGAACAAACGTACATATGTGAGGAGAGCGCCAAAGGAACTGTAGTAAAAGACCAGGATATTATGGGATATGTTGTACTTTGTGAACTTGGTCCAGTCTATCCACTGAAAGACAGGGTTACAACTTGTCATCACAACAACATCCAGTGAGACCCAGGTCAATCTATGATTCCACTATTTTGTCCTACTGGTTATGATGTCTTTCGAAAACGAAACCACTGAAAAATTTGTTACCAATTGCTATGGTGGTCATGAGAAAGACCTTGGGATACCCAGTCACCAGATATAAGTTTCATGAATATCCTTGAAAACAAACGTGGATGTTGCTCTCCTGATCCGATATCTTAAGTGGTTTCATTTGGAGAAGTGTCACTGGCACGTATACTTTCAAAACTGTATATATTAACCATTCTTTTATGTAAACCGTGAGCTCCTTTACCTGTGATACCTTGAGTCCAATCATATGCAGCTGTGCATCATGGAATTCAAATGCAAATTCATTAATGAAATAATTATGAAAATTACTCTTGCTCAAGTGAAGAAAACGAAGCAAATATTATCTTTTGCATATGCGTGTACTAGTTTAGAGCAAATTGTTATAAAACATTATAAAAAATTTAGACTAATTTCTTAAAGCCCTAAATTGTGTATGGTGTTTCGTATTTTGCAACCTGAAGGGCATCTTATATGATACAAGGGTTAAATTGGTAGATACAATACCCCAAAATTCAGGCATAGCCTTATCTAATTTGAAAATACAAACCAGAAGGAAAAACTCTTTCAGCAGCGCCCGCCATCTACAGGGCTATTATTGACAGACTAGAGTGAGTTATTATCACTGTTATACACTTTTACACATTAACCATCAAATCTAGTGCTCTAGAAATGTGAGACCTATTTAATGAAACATTTATGACCTATGATAGGAAAGCAATTTGAAAGATTATGTCGATGCACTCGATGTATTATAATAACTTATGCAAACGTTCCGTTGAAGAATTTCTTAGATTTACTCAAGTGAGTAATATTGTATCTTATGTTAAAATGACTTACCCGAAAGGTTGAAACTATTGGTATTATAGTTAGAGTAATTATTTAGTTTTTTAACGACCTCTCTAATGTTTGTTCTTAGCGGATAACTTTTTCATTTAAAAATGCCCCCCAGTAACACAGCGGTATGTCAGCGGACTTACAACGCTAGAATCCGGGTTTCGATACCCGTGGTGGGCAGAGCAAAAATAGCCCATTTAAAAACAAGAAAGTAAAAAAAAACAGAGTTTTCTATAAAAAAACAGAATTGTCCGTAAAAAGAATTAACCTTAGTTTTAGGGACTTGAAATCATTTCCACATTTATTTAAAAATTATCTAAATAATGTCTAAAATCTAATTTATTTTAGAAATAAGAATAATCTGTGTTTCAAACTTTACTTTATATATTAATGTATAGTAGTTTTGATATCTGTGTAAGAAGGATCATGTTGTTGTAATATTTTGTTATTTTGTAGGAAACTTTACGTGTATTAAAGTAATCTTCACGCTAAAACGTCGAGTGGGTTACTACATGTTTCACACATATATCCCAACCTGTTTAATCGTCATCATGTCATGGATCTCATTTTGGATTAGACCAGAAGCTGTTGCTGCACGTGTTACTCTCTGTGTCACAAGCCTTTTGACGTTGTCTACCCAGCATGCACAGTCGCAGAAGTCACTTCCACCTGTGTCATATATTAAAGCAATTGACATTTTCATGATTTCCTGCACAGTGTTTGTATTTGGTTCTTTAATGGAATATGCCTTAGTTAACATTCTAATAGGGGAAGCAGAAGATTCTACAAGGAAAATAAAATTGCCTAACGTCGTTGTAATAGGCAAAGTTTCGGTAAGTGAAGATCTAGAAGAAATAGTAGGAACTAATCACTATATAACATGACTTTAAGAAATAAAATAACCACTGACTATAAATCCACCTAAAAATAGTGCAGAAAAAAATGTCCTTTCATTTTTCAGTGGCTACTCCTCCCACCCCAACCTGACTTTATATTTTAGAGTTGACGTTTTATACAAACTGTAAAGTGAGAAATGAAAAGTGAACTAATTGTTTTAAAGTAATACGATCGAACTTTTTATGCGAGATAATACAAGTCATGTACAATTTTGTTAATTACGCAACAACAAAAGCGTTGGATAAAAAGACTGTTTAAATTAAGAGTTATTGTTTATTTAGTAATTTAGTATTTAATTATTATTTAGTTTTCGTAACAACAGTGTTAAAAGTTAATTATTTTAAAAGCGATAGTTATGACAAGTTTTGTTATGTAACTCTGTACGAGTCATTCGTTGTTATGCAGTTTAATTGTTGCACTACGTTTTTGTAATACTGGTGACGTCAACTTACTGGAAGCTTCTAGGTTTTTCTCGTTATGTGAATATTGTTGTCACCAGAGGGCTAGATATTTCTAGATTTTTTGTCGCGTGTTATAAATAGGTGCAGATACAGCGTGCAAGAAGAAGTTAGTGAAAGTGAAGTTATACTGTGTGATTGTTAGTTTAGCTTTAACCGGCAATATCTAAAGTAGTATTGTAACGATAGAGATAGAGAAAAACAATTCGTCTAGGGTTCTAAGGTAATTAAATCAGCCTGTTTGGACGTTTAACAAGAAAATATAATTATTTGGAGTTTTAGATACAACTGCGATAACCAATAGTGTAACGAATTTTTATACATACCTTTGACTTGTTTTGAATATATTAATTTAAAATAAGTGGAATGGGCGCTGTTCGTTTATTGTTGACATTTATCGCCAATAAGTTACAGACACCTACTGTAAATAATCTGGTCCCAATAAAAATCTGACAAACAGAAAATAAACTAGAACTATACAAGCAACAGACATATATGTCTTTTATGAAATAACACACATGATATAAAGAACTGATCGAAACTGTAAGAAAAGAAAACAAGACTAGTAATTAAGATAATAACAAAAGGAAGATGTGCTTGTCTCATCTAGAGACAGGTATAGCTTACACTAGAGTTGTGAAGATGTGCTTGTGAAGATGACAAAGTTCCGATTTTTTTGTTTACTCAGTATATCTTTATGATATGATGTTGATAAATTAGTAAGGATTTTAAATTATTTTCCAATACAAACAATAAGCAAAATTAAAGTCTACATTTCGCGCTTCCAACAATAATGTTAGAAACAGACAACTCTAGTGTAAGCTATACCTGTCTCTAGATGAGACGAGGAACTTTTATATAGTCGTAGACCACCATTTATTGGCCATAAACGTTTAGATAAGATACATTGATTTAGTAATAATAACACAAAATCTAGCTATACCTGTCTCTAGAAGAGACGAGGAACTTTTATATAGTCGTAGAATATCATTTATTGGCCAGAAACGTTTTGACAAGATACATTAATTTAGTTATAATAACACAAAATCCTCTTTTGGAAGCGAGAGATAATAACTCTTATGTCCAGATTTATCTATTTAGCGAATAAAACGTCTCCAAAGTTTGCAAAATTACTGTAAAGTAGTGTGTTAGTGTTCTTACAGTAACGTAGTTTTATTAAGCTAAATTTCTTCATTAAAATATATTAGTGTAATGGTTTTATACTTACAGTTAATGAAAATTGTCAAATATATTGATGACGATTTTTATGTTTAACGTTAATATAAGATTATAAATTAACATTAACCTGATATTTTATGGGTACATTTGTGAGGTTATTTTAATTTTCGTGCTCTAGGAAGATGAACCCAGTGAAACTAGGAGGAAAGTAAGTTTTCCCATTGCTCAACGTAGACGAGAACAAGCTTTGATGATTGATAAAATTTGCCGTATAGCATTTCCATTGGTGTTTATAATATTGAACATCATCTACTGGTCAGTATTCCTAAATTCCCCATCCGAGCAGACTGTTGTCGTGGATTAAAGAGAAGAAGAAGAACAACAACAAAACAATTTTCTGCTGTTTGAAAGCAGAACTTTAAAAGTTGAAATATTATCAAATTTCAAATTATTGCGATACTTTCTTTATTTTTTTATCCAGAGTAAATTCACTCAAAATTAAGTGTCCACATATATATTATTACTAAGACAGTTTGAAACATATGAAGGTTTATGAGCCTTGGATTCTTATATGATGGTAAAAGTTTAAACAATAATCTATTTTGCTTTTGTTTTTATAAAACAAGTATTATCAAAGGAAAAAATTTATACTTAAATCATACATCAAGCTTTAGATATTGCATGAGAATGAAAATAAGATACCTTTTGCATGATAGAAATAACCTAATACATTATTGCAATTTCCTTAAACATCATAACAACAACAACAAAAATCTTCATGAATTCCTTTTGTTTTCTAATCTTAGTAAATATTCCTGCAATGTGTATTCTGTTAATTAAAACTATCTCATTTGCTTATATTCCTTGTCTCATTGCATTCACTATAAGCCGAGTTTGGAAAAGAATACAGAGTATTCGAAAAGTCTGGAACTATAGATTATTTACAGCTTTTCTTAATTTTAGATACGTGGCTGATTATTGAGTTGTCAAAGCATAAGAAGATTGAGTTAATCCTGTTGTTAACCCAAACTTGTTTCGAATTACAAGGATAGCATGTGGAACATACACATATTCTGTCAAATTTGTTGACGTGTCTATGGTTCCGGACTTTTCGGACACCCTGTATAATAAAAAATATGCTAAAATACTATAAACTTTATTTCCATCAATGTTTTACAAATATGAAAAAAAAGACAGGTAAATATTTTCTAATAATGAATATCGCTTTTTCTGGGTTTGGGGTTTAATAAGGAAGGTAAATTCCTTTTATACTTTTACAAAACATAAATTATTAGCCCATGGACTCTGGACACGTTATGACATTGAGATAACTCATTTGTGAGTCTGATAAACCTGGTAATTTCATTCATTTGAAAAGGAATAGATTAATAAATTATAGGATTCTTTACAGTTCACAGCATACGTTCAACATTTTCAACTCATTTGCACTTGTCTTCATCAAATGCTTGAAAACGAATTCTGTAAGTAGATATTAAACAGAAAAATACGCCTACCGAAATCACAAAACTGTTAGAAATGAAAATAAGAGAAGGCAGATGGATAAAAGTCTTGGAGAGTTAAAGACTAATACATTGTTGTGATGACTGTTATAGACCTAACATTTAAGTTATACCGTAGGAAATGATATATAGCGCATTGTATTAGCAAAGTAAAGTTTAAACGGTTGTAAATTATAAATGGCAAAATTAATTTATATGTTATTGTTCCGCCAAATATTTTTTAAACAGGTACTATTATATAATGGTTAATCGTAAATTACTTGTAACGTTTGCATTTAACAACTATAAGACTTACTTCACCAGATAGCAAGTTATGGTTCGTTTCTTTGCTTTCGAATATTCGCCAAAAGCTACACAAAGTTTGTATGTGCTATTTGTTCCTAATTCTGAACTGACAGAGTAGAGAAAAAGCAACTAGGATTGGCACTGAATCTTATTGACTAGTTACTTTCTTTTAGTGTGTTAGTTCAGCATTAAGAACATATAGCACATATAACTAAATCCGGTCCATATTCAGTCCTAAACACTTTAGTTTCATACTTTATGCTCACTTTGAACTCATCTTTAACGATTTGATTCGAATGCCGTATTATGGTTTCATGTGAAATTTTGTTTCCAAACTATGCCAACCTTGTTCTCTTAAATATATCTTAATATTTTACTTAACATACTATAATTATATTTCAAATGCCGACATTTAAAACGATATTCTCATTTTAACTCTTTTTTGATTTGCTGTGCAAACCGTGAGTATCGATTTTTAGCGTTTTTATCCATCAGACATACCGCTGGCCATAACTCTTCAAGAAAACTTACAAATATAAAGTAATATTAGTTAAAAGAAGGTGTCGTAAGTCAGAAAATCCGTTTAGTTCCTCCACGTTTAGTTAATTGTAGAATATAAGCTATTATCATTGTTAACTAAAAGGCCAAAAATGCTCGAATGAAACTTTAGTTTAGTGTTCTTCAATGTAAGACGGCAGCTGAGGAAAAAACAAAACACTGTTTATATATGCACAATACTATTTTGAAAACTTCGGTTTAAAAGACGAAGTGCCTAAAATATTTGATGAAAATTGCAGAGATTGCAGTATTGATTCCTTTTCACATATCTTACTTTGTCCATTTCGAATTCAACATTAAAGGAGCGTGTAAACAACATTTCAAATCCATCTTTTGTCTCTCACAAGTCACTGCCCAAGAGGTAAGAAGTCTGCAATCAGGCATCGCATGAGAAGATTATCTTGACGACCGTGGAGCTAGTGGCTGTAAGATTAACTTTCCAGGTGAGATACTTATCTAAGGTAATCTCCAGTGATTTGAGAGATTCTGAAATCTGAATGAGAAAATGATCACGATGGAAAGTTGAAAAGTCAAGGATTGGGACAAGGGTTAAATTTCTTACAGCTTATGCCAAACGATATAGAACTTTTTATTCTATACTTGTAAATACTTTGTTCATCGCTGTATTACCTGTTCATCGCTGTATTACCTACGGTCAAACAACACGGATATCGGCTTCCTCTACATATTACAGTCGTCTAATGATTCTGAAATGTCAAGCTCTCAGGTTAACTTTCCGAATTTGTCTTCCGAGTCTCATCAAAGACCTGTATTAACGTATTATCTTTCTTTCCGTCAATTCATATCTCCATAAACTTCGTCAAAAGTGTATACATCAAAGCTTCGTTAACCATAATGTTATCCTTGCAGATTGGGTGGTTTTTCCTGTAAATCTATCCCGGAAGTACATTCCATCTCCTGAACATCTCTTTAACATCAACCAGAAGTCTCTTCCAGTGGATGATCCAAATATTGAAGCCACTTCTTTCACCTCATATCCATCAGTATTAAGTAATTAAAGTTTCATATTCACAATTGTTACTCTTTTGCGTATTTGATCTGTAATGCTATCATTACTATCCACTTCTACTTCTCTTACTTGTTCCTTCATTCTTGTTTTCCTACTCTGATTGCACATTATAATTTTTACATCTGATCATCCATACCACAAAAAATTCCTTCAATTTGGATAATTCTCTTGGCTGAAGAGAGGGTGCAACCCTTTGACGGTCAGTCAGTTTCCTTACTTGGACTGGAATGTTTGTTTGTTTGTAATTAAGCACAAAGTTACACAATAGGCTATCTGTGCTCTGCCCACCACGAGTATCGAAACCCGGTTTCTAGCGTTGAAAGTCCGCAGACATACCGCTGTGCCACTGGGGGGTGGACTGGAATGAAATAAAAGAAAAACAAGTATTGTCTCTTATCCTCCAGCCAAATTATTATTGAACGCAAAGCATCTTACAAGATAAATAAGATCTAAATGCTATTTTTACACGCCCTTGATTTTGAATCCAAAATGTAAAAATTAAGAGGAATCTTAAAAAACAAACAGCTTCAGTTTACATGATTTTTATCAAATATTTTGGACCTGTTGATTTCTTATGCTTCTGTAGCTTACTGCGCTTAAGTCTTAACTATTATCATTATTGTCATTTCCTTTTTAAAATAATTTTTTATACTTTTACCGATAAATATTTCTATTTTGTTATTATTAATTTTAATATTTGTTGTTGATTTGTTTGTTACCCCTCTATGTAGCGTAATTGCCAAGTCTCAATTCATTGAAGATTTGTTTGTTAGTTTGTTTTGAATTTCGCGCAAAGCTACACGAGGGCTATCTGCGCTAGCCATCCCTAATTTAGCAGTGTAAGACTCATCATCACCCACCGCCAACTCTTGGGCTACTCTTTTGCCAACGAATAGTGGGATTGACCGTAGCATTATAACGCTCTCCCGGGTGATAGGGCGAGCATGTTTGGTGGGACGGAGATTCAAACCCGCGACCCGCAGATTGCGAGTCGAGCTCCCTAACCACCTGGCAATGCCGGGCCTTTATCGAAGAAATAATTCACTTAATCAAAGAAGAATTTTTAGGTTGTTGAAATTAACTTGAATCTGTGAATGTATATGCTAGAAAGAATATATTTTCATATTAAACAAAACCATTTTTTATATGTATAGGTTGAGTAAATAATACACGTTACTGAAAAATATAAAAACTAATTACTATAATAATGGTAATTAGTCATAAAAGTCTCCTAAATTACAACTAGTTTATTGAAATATTTCTAATACTTACTAAATGTTATAAGAAACAATCATTTTACTACCAGTTTTAAGAGGTAAAATTTAAATCGATTAAGTTTTTGATATAATTATTGTTATGAAGTGAGGTGTAAGATAGCATTGGTTGAAGTTGAGATGGTGTGAGTCTTGTCAGTCTCTAGGAGTTTACAGCACCCTAAATTATTATAAAATTATTGGAGTGATCGGGTATAGTGGCCGCCTTTCCACGTTCTACTGGTATGGAGACAACTAGACTTCCAATGGTTATGAAACGTTATAATCCAATATACGGAAACAGATGCAAGGTCAGAAATAAAATAACCGGTTCGGCGTGGGTTGAGAAAAGAATATAAAAGACAGGAGTTCAAAGAGAGAAAAGATGGAGACTGGGAGATGCGAGAGAGAAAGAGGGAATAAACCGATAGAGGCAAAAAAACAAACAAAAAAACAGTAATATGCTACCAGTAAGAAACAAAACATATTTCTAAATATATTACAATAATAAACAGCAATCTGTTATATTAAGATTGGTGTGAGTCGATTCCCGATAGAAATAAGTACAATTTAAATAAAGTTAATAAAGCAAAGTGCGAGTATAGCACTATTGTAATAATTATAGCTATGCTGGTTGTCTCAGCAGTATGTTTGAGGGCTTATCACGCTTAATATTGGGTTTGGATACCAACGGTGGGCAAAGCATATATAGAGTCTTACGCAGATTTGTGCTTATTAACAAAAATGCATAATTACAACTACTCACCTCTTGTATTTAACTTCATTAGGAATTATGATAATACAATAACCATATGTAACTACCAAATAGTGTTTAGTAGGTACAAAACACAAGTGTGTGGTTGAGTTGTTCTAAATTGCACAAATTTTCGTTGCAGCATTTTTTCTTATTATTAACTAAGAATATTTTCACAGGTGCACATAAACATTTTAATCTTAAATTACACTGACTAGCTTTTCTAGTCAATGAAAGCTAATATCATAAGTACGGTAGTGCTTATAGTAGGGATAGGCCAGATATGCAATATGTGCAATACAAATTAAAATCTCAAACACACAGCAAACAGCATGTAAAAAAAAGTTATAATCACTTTACACAC